CAGACAGTGACTTTGAACACCTTCAAAGAGATCTAGATACCTTACATGAGTGGTCAGTAGACTGGCAAATGAATTTTAATACTGATAAATGCAAGGTACTACAGATAAAGACGAATACAAACGTTAAGTATAAACTAGGTAACACGGAAATAGAAAACCCAGTTTGTGAAAAAGATCTAGGTGTATTTGTTAGCAAACGACTTGAAACCTAGAAAACAATGTATTAGCGTTCGCAACAAGGCAAACAGGATTCTGGGTTCATATCTAGGTCTGTGAGTAACAGAACTGCTGACGTTATCTTGAAACCTTTACCTAGCATTAGTGAGGCCACACATGGATTATGGTTCAGTTCTGGTGTCCTTATTATAGAATGGACATAGATTTGGAGAGAGTACAAGAAGAATGACAAAATGATCCATATTATTAGAAACCTTCCATATGAAGAAAGACTGAAAAGCTTAGGGCTTACATTCATTAGGAGAGGCGTAGAGTTAGGGAGATATGATAGGAGGTGTACAAGTGGGTAAGTGGATTAACAAGGGTAAAATGGAAGATGTTCTGAAGCTCAGTAATAACGAAATAACTAGAACAAATGGCTTTAAATTAGATAAATTCCGATTCAGAAAGGATATAGGCAAGCACTGGTTTGCAATAGAGTTGTGGATATGTGGAATAGGCTACCGAGTGCTATAGTAGGATCGGGGACGCTAGGGAGCTTCAAGACGAAGTTGGATAGGCACATGGAAGTGCTGATGGTGTGAAAGGGATCTGCCCTGTATGGGCCAGTCGGCCTCCTGCAGTATCCCACTTTCTTATGTTCTTATGTTCTTATGTTCTTATACACCTCTATCAGGTCGCCCCTCGCTCTACGTCTCTCAAGGGAGTGCAAGTTAAGATGCTTTGACCTGTCTCTATACTCAATGTTCCTAATGCCCGGGATTAGTCTTGTCATTCTCCTCTGAATTCTTTCCAAGGATTCTATATCCATTCTGTAATACAGTGACCAGAACTGAACTGTATGTAAGCCATGTATTGATCTCTAGGCTTTGAGTAAACTTTAGGATATTCCCTTGAATCTGTAACTAACACTCCTTTGTATGAACCCAAGTACTTTATTAGCCTTGTTACGAGCAAAAACACATTGTTTACTTGGCTTAAGGTTCCTGCTTATCATTACTCCTAAATCTCTCTCGCAGTCGGATTTCTCTATGGAATCGTTGTTCATCTGGTATCTGGTTTCCCTGTTTACATCTCCTATACTGAGTACTTTACATTTGTCGACGTTGAATTTCTTCTGCCATTTTTCAGACCATTCCAAAAATTTGTTTAGATCTTCCTGTAGTTTTGCCGAGTCCTCGTCAGATTTGATAACACGTCCTATTTTAGTGTCATCAGCAAATTTACTTATGTTGCTGTCTATGCGGATATCTATGTCGTTTATGTATATAATAAATAATAATGGTCCAAGTACTGAGCCTTGGGGAACTCCCCTTGTGACGTTGCTCCAATGGGACTTACTGCCGTTAATGCTCACTCGCTGTTTCCTGTCCTGTAACCACGCCCTAATCCATTTAAGGATGTCACCTTTGATGCCATGAGCTTCTACCTTTCTAATTAGTCTTTCGTGGGGGACTCTATCGAAGGCTTTGCTAAAGTCGAGATATACCACATCATAATTGTGGCCCTCGTCCACCGATTCCTAAACTGATGAAAAGAATGTTAATAGATTAGTTAGGCAAGAACGTCCGCTTGTGAAGCCATGCTGGGAATCATTGATCAATCGGTGCTTCTCCAGGTGATTTCGAATATTTGCCTACTATTGATGTTAGGCTGATTGGGCGGTAGATAGAGGATAGTGATCTATCCCCCTTCTTGAAAATCGGTATTACATTCGCTATCCACCAGGATTCTGGTACTACACCTGTTTTTAAGGACATGTTAAACAGCTTTGCTAAGGGCATACTAAGCTCTTCCTTACATTCCTTTAATACTCTGGCAAATATCTCATCGGGACCAGGTGACTTATTAGGCTTTAGTTTGTCTATTTGCTTACTAACATCGTTACTAGTCACTACTATCTCACTTTTATTTTGATGTGAAACGAAACTAGATACAGAGAGTTACCACGAGAGAGAGAGAGAGAGAGAGAGAGAGAGAGAGAGAGAGAGCTGGGTGGCAACAGCTCGCTGCCTCGACAACATCTAGTGATCGTGTTGTGTTGGGAGGAGAAGAGTGAGAGAGAGATAAAGATGGAGGGAAAGTGTGAGAGCGAAGGTATGAGGAAAACAGGACAGACAGGAGATGGTGAGAGAGAAGAGATATGAGGAAAAGAGGAAAAGGAAGGAAGTAGAAGAAGGACAGAGTGGAAAGGGGAAGGAAGGAAGGAAGGAAGGAAGGAAGGAAGGATGGTGCGTGGTGGGGGAGTGAGAGGATAGTGGAGAGAGAAGATGGGAGCAGTTAACGGAGTAAAGAAGAGATGAGGAGAGATGGATGGAGGGAGGGAGGTGCACAGTTGGGAGGAGGGATGGACGAGGGGTATAGAGAGGGTAATAAATTATGGATAGAATGATGGAGGAAAGAACGGTAGTAGGTGAAAGACGAGAGAGTAAAGTGGGTAAAGAGGAGGGAGGGAGGGAGGGAGGGAGGGTAAGCATGGGGGGAGGATAGAGAGGAAGAGGAGGAAGGAAGGAAGGAGAGAGGGAGGGCACAAGTGGCTCTCGCTCCACTATTGATTGAGGCGCGGAGGGTCGGCGCATATTGCATGTCTGGAAGGTCAACTTTAGACTCACTTAAAACACACCATTTTAAAGGATTGTATTTTGTCTCCTGTTCACCCCATCAAAGGTGCCACCTGACTATTTTTAGGGAGACAAATGGGTCCTTAATTCCCAAGTGAGGTGCGGGTGGTGCGGGTGGTGGGGGTGGTGCGGGTGGTGGGGAATTGGTGGGGTGGCAGGGGGTGGTCAGGGGTGGCAGAAGGTGGGGTAGGGGTCTTAATTTTGGGGGGCCATTTTTTTTCAATTCATGGAGGTTCTAATTTTGTAGGTGGATAAAAGTATGTTTTTAATTGAAATGTGTTTACAGGTGCGTTTTATCGTTTATGTAGAGATGGGAATATAGATACAGGTGACATTGAGTATATTAAGTCAGGTGTCAGGTGTATGGTTATTTTGAACTGAATTATATATATATATATATATATATATATATATATATATATATATATTATGTTTTGGTGAAGTAAATCCTTATGGAACTATTAGACAGCAGCCTACTCATAGTTTACTGAGTCACTCACTCACTCACACATAAACTGACTGACTGACTCACTCATTCACTCACTCACTCACTCACTCACTCACTCACAAACTGACTGACTGACTGACTCACTCACTCACTCACTCACTAACTCATTCATTCACTCACTCACTCATTCACTCACTAACTCATTCATTCACTCACTCACTCACTCACTCACTAACTCATTCATTCACTCACTCACTCACTCACTCACTTACTCATTCATTCACTCACTCACTCACTCCTCACTCACTCACTCACTAACTCATTCATTCACTCACTCACTCACTCACTCACTCAACGATGAAGGATGTTTCCGAAAAAAAAAAACATCATTAGTTGCCCAACATCCTGGACAAAGACACACCCAACAGAACAACTAAACAACCCCAGAACCAGAAAACAAAAACAAAAACAAAAACAAAGACAAAAACAAAAACAAAAACAAAAATAGGGCTACAAAAAGCTACAGAGATTTGATGTAGTAATCTAGGTAGTAGGGAGTCCTTGACCGGGAAGCTCCACTGAAGCCTCGATTTAACGGATATATCGTCTGTTAAATAGAGGGCTTCACATCCAACGAATCCTCGATGTAATGGATGGGTGGAATGTCTAGGTGGAGGGAGGGAAGAAATGTCTAGGTGGAGGGAGGGAAGGAATGTCTAGGTGGAGGGAAGGAATGTTTGTGTGGAGGGAAGGAATGTCTAGGTGGAGGGAGGGAGGGAATGTCTAGGTGGAGGGAAGGAATGTCTAGGTTGTAACACATTTTACTATAACAAATTGAATGTAACATATTTTATGTAACAAATTACTCTTTTATTGTCCTTTTTAATTCTTTATGCTTATTTATTTATTTATTTATATATTTTTTCTTCTTTCTCTTACTCTTTCTTTCACTTATTCCCGTTATTCTTTCTCGTTATACTCGTGAGAGGTGGAGGGGGTGAGGGAGGTAGTGAGAGGTAATTGTTTACGCTTGGGGGGAGGGGAGTACAGGACTAATGGCTGGTTTGTGGTTAGGCTAGAAAGGCCTACACCAAGGGGAGAGGCTAGAGGCGGATAGCTGGGGACTAAGATACAATACTTCACAGAGGGGAAATATAGGATAGTTATTATATATAGGACTCACTGTATTACTGCATAATACCAAGACATTTATAACACATCAACCTCTCTCAAGAAGGAATGGATGAATCAGGACTCTTATTAACGGTTACTGTATTTATTGAATACTTTATGTTAGGGTTTAACAGTTACACTTCAAAACAATAAACCTATGTGACTAGCTAGTTAAACGGGGACCACGTATCTCACAACAAATGGGAACTTAAGGATTTACCAAATAGAATACACCCAAATACCTGCCATGTCGCCACCACAGACGTCCCACACCTCCCTACACAAAATTCCAACACAGACTCCGCTTTTCAAACTGTGTCAGCCCACAAGGGATGCCACAACTTTCATGACGTCACGCCTCATAGGCTTTCTCATTGGTCGAAGACAGGCCTAAGGCCTTCATACTATAGGCTCGAAATTGGTGGGAACTCTCAGGTGGCGAGAAACTCATGACATTGTTATAAGGTGGAGGGCGAAAAAGTCTGGGTGGAGGGAGGGAATATTTGAGTGGAGGTAGAGAATGTAGATACTCACAGATACTCATAGAAAATACCCACAGCAGATACTCAGAAAATACTCACAGATAAAGTTAACGTAGACGGGATTCCTAGACCTCTCAAGCCTGACCAGCTCCTTGGCAAACCTCCCGGCATAGATGGCGTCTGAGAAGTCTTCAGTCAGAGCTGAGGGTGTTAACTCTGGTCTGTTGTTTGATACCGCTACACGCTGAAGCTCCACTCTGTAGATGAGGGAGGGGGGGGGGTTAGCGTGTGGGGCATAGATAGATAGAATGATGGATAGATAGACAGATGGAGAGAGAGAGAATTGGTACCTATAATAATAATAATAATAATAATAATAATAATAATAATAATAATAATAATAATAATAATAATAATAAAAATTGACAGTACCTCATGTTACCATAACCTATCTGTCGAAGCTACACACAGGAGGAACGAGAATGAAAATAACAGTGTTTACAGAGAGAATCCAGAACGCCACACAAGGCAGCTTCACTCTCTGGTGTCCATAACATTAGGCAGGATGGGACCTTGTGCAAAGTGCTTCTTTGTCAGACTGGCTGAGGTGTTAAGAGAACAGACACAGCAACCCAGAAGTTATATTGTGGCCTGTTTGAGATGTCGCCTAACCTTCTCTTTGCTCAGGTCTGTTCTGCTGTGTCTCAGGGGAACAAGATCTTCGGCCCCGAAACCAACAACAGTCACCAAATATCGAATAGATCTGTGGCTTAACTAACTCAGGGTAGATTAGGATAGTTAAGTGATAAAATGGTGGTGAAGGTATGACTATGAGGGGAGGTTAGAGGCCATAGTAGCAGTAGTAGTCGTGGTGGTAGTAGTACTAGCCGTGTGTGAAAGATAACCAGTTATCATCATTTGTTATACAGTTTACATGTGAGGAGGGGCATAGTGGTGTTGACCATAGGGCTGATTGGTCATAGGTTAAATGTATCTCCAGGCACTTTAAAACCCTCCTCAAAGGGTCAAAGGTCAAAGCAACAGACGAATACAAGAGAGAAACCAAATTTACGAAAATAAAAAAAAAATAGAGAGAGAAAGACTTCGAAAGTAAAGATGAACGTTAGATTAGCAACATGCCAAGCAACGAGACGAGCATAGAAGGTCATCACGCCAGAGTGGTGTAAGGTCAGAGGTCACTACAGCACAGTAGAAGTGGTCTGTGTTAATGTGGGAAAGTATAAAGACTATGTATGTTGTAGATCAGAAAGAGACAGGGAGAAGGAGAGAGATAAATAAAGAGAGAAAACAGATCGAGAGAGAGGAAGAATGACAGAAGAAAACACACACACACACACACACTACTACTTTGCTGTCACTCGGAATCGAGTACGACGATCATCCAGCTATGATACAATGATCTGAGTTATTAAGGATGTCACCTAGGTTGGTGAGTTCTGAGGTGATTAAAGGTACGGGACTGGCAGGGTCTATCACAGATTTTGCACATGTGGGGGGCTACATCTAGTGTGGGAGGGGCGGCGGCAGCGTCTTTTCGGCGTTGACGCTTGTCTGCCTCGTTATGCAGTCGAGCTAACTCGAAAGTATTGACACCTTCTTGCGTGGTGACCCCCCAAGCATTACGGTGTGGAGTAATCGTCTTCCACGTGAGGGGGTCGATTTTGCACTTTTTCATGTTTGTCTTAAGACTATTTTTACCGCTGGACAGCGGTAATCATAGGAATGATAAGAGTAGTCAAACTAATTATGGGGAGTGATAAGAATTAATTTTGTTATGTACAACGCGAGGAGACGATGGTGAGTCAGCTCGTGTCATAAGGAGGAACAAGGCGTGTATATGCTGAATTGGCTTAACGTTCACCCAGGCGGGCCAGGCCCCTGGACGATAACATACGGCAGTACCCCAGCAGGTTAATCTCCTTACCGGGCGATCACAACTATCCTTATATCTTTTCAGTTGCCAACCAGCGTTACATTTACCATTCGTTAGGTGACTCTAAAGTAGCTGCTTTAGCAGTCTACTGTCGTCCATGCGGGTAACATAACCTGTCCAGCGTAGTTGTTCATGGATAATGGTAGCTTCGATACTCTTACAGTTGGTGTCAGCTAGAATACTGGCATTTGTTCTCTTGTATTCCCAGCGAAATCGGAGGATGGAATATAGACTATGCTGGTGAAAGTTTTCAAATGCCTTGATGTGCCTCCTGTATGTGACCCATGTCTCGCTGCCGTATAGCAGGGTGAGGACGACCATTGCTCGATATACGTGTAACTTTGTAGATAATTTCAACTCCCTACAGCTGAAGACACGGTTTTGGAGTCTGCCAAAGGCTTGAGATGCACATCTGATACGATGTTGAATCTCTTCATCAATATCTATGGGGTTGGACAGGTGGGAGCCGAGATACCGAAAGTGGGTAACATTAGAGAGCGTAGTCCCATCTAGCTGGATGGATGGTGGAGGTGTGGCTGAACCAGGTGCAGGCTGGAAGAGAAGCTGAGTCTTACATTCATTCACCTCAAGGCCGAAGTGTGCATACGCATCTGCATAGGTGTTCAGGATCTCCTGTAGGTCGGGTTCAGTGTGAGCAACAAGGGGGAAGTCGTCTGCATACTGAAACTCAGTAATGGAAGATTCTGACACCTATGATCCTGCCTGGAGTCGTCTTATGTTGAATAGACTCCCCCTTCATCCGGTACTCGATGTCCACCCGCTGGCTAAATTGGCGCTGGCGCGAGTAAGGAAGGCAGCCAAGAAAATGGAAAAGAGAGTTGGTGCCATTACACACCCTTGTTTAACCCCCGTTTGGATGGGGAAGAACTCAGACTGGGGTGCCATGGTGCAGGACACTGCTTTTCATGCCATCGTGGAGTTGCCTCACAATGGCGATGAATTTTGGTGGGCAGCCAAAACGGTTTAGGGTCCACCAGAGGGCTTCCCTGTTAACCGAATCGAAGGCCTTGATTTGGTCAATGAAACCCATGTACAGGTCACGACGCTATTCTCTGCACCTTTCCTGTATCTGGCGGGCAACACAGATCATGTCAGTGGTGCCACATGATGGTCTAAGGCCACATTGAAATTCTGGGAGGAAGTTTTCTGCCTCAGGAAGAAGTCTGTTTAGGAGGACTCGGGCTATATTCTTGCCAGCTACAGACAGCATCGAGATCCCACGGTAGTTGCCACAGTCTGACGGGTCTCCCTTGTTCTTATAAATATTGACGTTGGAGGCGACTTGAGGAGCTTGGGGGATCTCTTCCTTTTCCCATATATTATCCAGGAGAGATTAGAGACAGCTGGTAAGCAGAGGTCCTCCTGCTTTATACACCTCGGCTGGGATTCCATCAGGCCCTGAGGCTTTGTTATTTTTCATCTGTTTGATGGCAGTAGCAGTGAGTGGTAGTGCTCTTTCCAGCACTGAAGGAGGCCTTCATTATCTTTAATTATGGAGTTACCGTCGGATGAGCGGAGGGGGGCTATGCTGCGAGTGAATGGACCAGAAAATGTTTTAGTGGAATTGAAAAATTCGCTCATCTTGTGCTAATCTGCATTTTTTGTGTGTGTTTCATATGCTTTATTTTTAAACCAGTCGTTCTTTGGATTGCAAAATTCCCGCTGGGCCACAGCTTTCTTCTTGTGGAAGGTATCAGCTTTGGTCCGAAACTGAGGGTTGTTCTGTCAGTCAGTTAAAGCAGTACGTTTATCATCGACGAGTACATTGATTGCCGGGTCATTTTCATCAAACCAGTCTTGGTGTATTCTTTCGATCTGGCTGAGGGTCTCTCTGCAGGTTTTGTCATGACAGTGTCGAGAATATCCCATTCAGCGCTGAGATTCAGGTTGTTTGTTGTCGGGTTGTTTATCAGCCCATGTTCGACCTGCTCTCTGAAAGCATGTGCTTGTGCTACCACTGGATCCTCCAAACGCTTAGTGTTAAAATTTCTTCTGGAGGCTTGCTGCCTTCCCCATTTTGGGGCGATGTGAAGTGAGCGCTTGACTTTGACGAGTCGATGATCGGTGTCGCAGTGGTCCGAGCCACACATGGCACGGGTGATGAGGACATCTCGGCGATCTCTTTTTCTGACAATGATGTAGTCAATGAGATGCCAGTGTTTGGATCGTGGTTGTTTCCACGAACCCTTGAACTTGCCGACCTGCCTAAACAAGGTATTGGTGATAGTGAGGTTGTGTGCAACACACTTGCTGAGGAGGAGTAGGCCAGTAGGATTACACTTGCTTAATTCATTTCTCCCAATGGATCCCTGCCAAATGTCAGTATCTCTGCCTACTTTGGCATTGAAGTCGCCAAGGAGCACAACCTTGTCTTCTCTGGGGATAGAGGTTAACACTCTGTCGTGGTCGGCGCAAAAGGCCTCCTTGATGTTATCCTCTGCATCCAGTGTTGGGGCGTATGCACTGATAAAAATTGCATGACGTGAGTGATTCAGTGGGACTCGGAGCGTCATGAGGCGCATGTTGATCTCAATAGGCATTTCAGTTAGCCTGTATAGGATGCGTTGGCGGATGGCAAAGCCAACTCTATAAATGCGGTTTCTCTCCGTAGCAGGCTTACCCTTCCAGAAGAAGGTATAGCCAGACTCCCGTTCTGTGAGTTGACCACTCGTCTGGGAGCCTCAATAATGGCTGCTGTGTCGGTGTTATACCTAGCCAGCTCTTTTGCCACAAGGGCAGTTCTTCTTTCAGTTCTTCTGACATTCCATTCAGCGACTATAAGAGGCTGTATAAGTTTTTGTTTTTTTTGATCTGTGATGTTGATTCTGTTTTCGAACGCATTAGGATGATCTTACTGGGTGCAGTTGCCCAGTAAGGTTTTTTTTTTCTTTTTAGGCAGGCTATGTTTAGGGCACCTTTTCTAGCCTCAGACGCACTGCTGCCTTGATCCCAGTGCATAAACGACCATCTTAACTGTGCCGCCCATGTGCAGAGTTGTGACTAGAGACTCCCGGCAGTCATCTCTGCCTGTCCCCGTCGTCATTCGTCCGCCGCCATAGGACTTTTGGGGGTATCGGGTTTTTGATGATAATGAGTTGTATGATGAGCTGGATGATGGTTGCACGTGAGTTGATTTTATGTGGTGAGGTAGGAGCGCAGGCTGCAACCACACATCTTGGCTCTCCCTTTTCCTGATCCAGTGGTGCAAGTGTTGCAACGACTGGGGGGAGGGAGAGTTGCAATGGACTGCCGATAGCTCAGTTTGTCGGGTTTCGCCTTAGT